TAGTGTCCTAGTTGATAAATCTAACTAACTCCATGTCATTCAGGCCTCGCCTCAATAAACAGTCCCGGTCCAGTCGATATTTGGCACTATTTATATGCATTTTTTGAACAAAATACTGAATACGCCTTCGTATTTTCGTCCACTCGTTACGCTCTCTCACCCTCTCTGTCCCATACTTGTCTTTCCTACCGTACTCAGATTTCTTTTCTTTTTCAGTTCCCTTTTTCTCTTGACTTTCTCTCTCCTCTTCCCTTCCACTCTTTTCTTAACTCTTCATCCCTCTACGTTCTCTTATCCCCCTTTCTATTTCCTCTTTCCCTTCCCTCCTCTCTCTTTCCCCCTCTTTCACAGGCATAATCGATCGCGTCTGTTTTGAACTATGAATTTAAACTTTGATTCAGAGCTGTAAAAGTGTACTTTTGTTCTACTTTCCTTGGTGACTCCAATCTATTCGTCATAAATTTTACTTAAATGCACCTCAAATGACGTTTCAGAGCCGTTCTTGTAAGCTTCCTAGTCAGTCTAGTCTTCTATGGGTGTCTTTGCTGTTTTAGAAAACGTATCCGCTCCACCTATGAGTACGTGTATCGCGAGCTCTTTTGCAAGGGTGAGGGCAGTGATATTATCGTAGCAGCCCTGGGCTACGAGTGGCTTCTTCATCGAATCTACATTAAACAGGTTCGTTCTCCCCAGCGAGTTATCACACTCTCCCACCTCTTCTAGTCGCCCTTCTTCGCTGCTATGCTGGACGGTGGTTGGAAGGAGAGTGATTGCAATCGGATCGAATTGGAACTGTCTGACCCTGCCATCACCAAACACGCCCTGGATGTGGTGTTTGGCTCCTTCTACTGCGATTGTGTCTCCCTGACAGACCAGGTTTGATTACCTTACTTCACCTAACTTCTCTCGCACGCAGACCGTGTTGAATATTCTGGCGGCTGCAACGTGGTTCCACCTGGAAGACATTCGTCAGTCCTGCAATGACTTCCTCAAACGTGAAATTCGGTAGGTTGCTTGAGTCACCTTAGTCAGTCTTACCTGCCTCCATCTCTCTTATCCCCTCACCTCTTTTTCCTGCACACTGACGATCTACCATCGCAAAATGAATGTTTGCATGTAAAATATGCTGATAATATGGTTGTTGGTCATCCTCTCAAAAGTCAGACATCTTCAGGTTCGGTAAGATGGCCTGGACCACTTCTCAGCATGGTCGTCAGCCACTGGTCTTCTAGTGAATAGTCAGAAGTCAATCCAGTGCGCTTTCCGATTGCGACCCTCTTCCAGTCCTAAATCCTTAGACATCTTAGCCAATGAGCTATCCTCTTTTCGGTACCTTGGTGTTATTCTGACATCTACTCTTTCATTTACTCTTCATATTGAGGACCTCTTTATTAAAATGAGTAAACTCCTATATTATGTCCGTCGGTTACGTTCCTATCACGCAACTCAAGTCCTAATTTGGCAGTTTATAGATGTCTGCATTCCCTCCGCCCATTCTCCGGTAATTTTTTCCAGTCTTACTTAAAAAATACGTTCGCCGAATGCTCTCTTCAGCTTCCAGTTTTTCTTACGCTTATTAGTTGATATTATACTACAGCGACATTCTAAAACGGTCAGGCAATTTGCTGGTCACTATCTTGATGAGGTTGCTCATCCACTTGTCCCTGAATTCATGGCTGCGAAGTCTTCCCATAATATGCGCCTAATTTTCTGACATATGCCCTGCCCTACATCGACATATCAGCACTCTGTACTCCCATTTCTAGCACACTATCTCACGTGTAAAGAAAAGGCAATCCAGAAGCTTAGATTGAATCCGTCCCCATAACAAACGTGTATCGCATGCAAACCTCTTGATTTTTAAATATTTTGTTAAGTTATCCCGTGGTCCCAGTGAATGGAGTCATTTTTTGCTGAAATGTTTAGATGCTACCTTCAAAATAAAGTGTTTTTCTCTCTCTCTCTGCACAGGTTGGACACCATCATTGAATTTCACGCTGTCTCTGGGAAGTATAGCCTGCCTGAGCTGAACCAGGCCTGCGTGGATTGGCTGTCGCAGAAACTGTTGGTCATTCCTGACTCCCCGGCACTCTTTACGCTCCTTCAGAATATTCCGTAAGAGTTTGAGACCCTCCCCCCTTAAAAAATCAAGATCTTTAAATTCACAAATGGTGACGCATTTTGTGAAAGGGGAACTGACACTTCGAAGTACAATCTTCCTTTGTAAAGTATTACAATGTTTGTGTGATCTGTCGCATAAGACCTGCTGACGAAAATTGAAACAATCAGTTTATTTGTTCGCCTAGTATATTCCGCAAAATGCCCTTTATCATTAATTTTCTTTTGAGTTCAGGAGAGGGCTGTCGGGCACCGGAACAGTTTTTTTTATTGTTCTGAACTTTAAAAGTCGTACAGGTGTTCATTTTCAAAGATATCAGTAGGAACAAAGAACGAAGCAACTATAGGGGGTGCGAACTAATCGACTATCAGTGACTCACGCATGGAGGTGACTGCGTAGGGCTCTGTACGCCGGCGCCAAATCGATAAATCGCTTGATTGAGTTCCCATACCTGGACGAAGCTTCAATAAATTCTCAGCTCCTCTTGTTTCCGGCGTGGGCGGGTGTCTTGACGGCTGCGAAGTTGAACTCACGGCCTGTTTCGTAGGTATGAGCCGCAACTTGCGATAATTCGTTGCCACGTCGCACATCCAGCTTATGTTCGTGTATGCGCGATTCCAGCGTGCGTTTCGTTTGACCTGTGTACTTACAATGACAGCTTATGCACGGGATACGATACACTACCTCTAGATTGCTCTTTGGGATTTAGCTGGTCTTTGATTTCCATTATCCTGCTGCACATGATGGCTTTGGGTCGGTGTGCAACTCCAACACCTAGTTCCGCAGCGATGCGCCCAGTCGCTTCTGAGACGACCGGGATGTTTGATAGAGCGTGCCATATCCTCGGTGGTGCTTCTGTTTGGGTCCTGCGAGGCCGAACGCGTAGGCTTTCGGGTATCTATTTCGCATAAATTTGTAGCGAAGATGTCGGGCCTTGCGTACCGATTTCCTCCAGCCGGCTGCACTGAGTCTGAATTCGCACAGTTGCGTTTGTAAGCAGCCAGATGGTTGCCGTGACGGCTCCGAAGTCATACCTTTGCCTTCCTGTAAACCGTCGTCTCGATATCACAGAGCTCTGCACAGTCACCTCCAGACGTGCGTCACTGATAGTTGATTGGCTTACAGTGGCTAAACTTATCGCGTATTTTTTGCTGCTGTTATCTCTCTGTACGAGTTTGAAAGCCTAGAAAAAAGCACTGTTCTGGTGCTCGACCAGCCTTATCCTGTATGTTTATGTCTACATATTTGAGCGGAATGCTACGTTATCTTATATTTCAGCGATTTTCTAGGTTATTCGCCACCCCACCAAGCTTGCGCATCCGTGTGTGTGTTCTTATATGAGAAGGGTGTAATATAAACTCGGGGTTTGACAGACGAAACTCGCCGCATTTGAAAATTCCGTTTTTTTCTCCACGAAAATCAGGTGAATCAAGTTGTAAGCAGCAGGTTACTTTTTTTAGAAAACCAGACATTTCATCGATTTTAAAAATTCAGCTGTATGATTTGCTGCGCAGTAATAACCTTTATTGAGAATCATTTCATGAGTTAGTTCGCGTACTGTACTTAGGTGGAGTTGTAATGTTAATTAAACTGCAGAATAATCTTGAGACAGCTGAGCCATGCTATGATGCGGCCTTTGCATACGTGCCTTTCCGGCCGCCACCTGTACGCCCGCCAAACGATATTTAAGTAGTATGGTTTTCCCCCATCGATTTACTATACCCTTGTGGGTTCAAATATGATGATAGTTCGACCATCGATTTCAATTAAGTCCACCATATGCTGCCCGGGAGCAGGAAAGGTGACTGTTGTCAGAGACGAGATTTACGTGAAGCAGAAGCGCAGCTGTCTCCCTCACTCTGAACCCTCAACCCGCTTGAACCGATGACAAGACGGAGTCGAGATTGCGGAAAGGGATCAGGCGTAGGCTGCTTTCTTAAATTCACCGCCTAATTTAGCCTGAAGTGACAGTAGACTTTTGCGCTGGTACTATGGCACTATCTGCCCTCACTCATCTTCAGCAGATGTCAAGAGACTCAAGGAGACCAAGGCTGGTACTGCTATTGCTATTTCTACTACTACTAACTAGCAGTTTAACTGGATGAAATGTATATACAAAGGTACATCCTTTCCGATGCACACTATCTAGTAATAAAGCGTCTTCTTCTATCTTTGCGCGAAGGCTGGGAACTTGTCGGTTTCATAAACGTTTTTAATTTTGACATGTTTGAAGACCGGGAAATTTCTCTTCCAGTAGTATTTTATTTGTGTCTCCTAATTAGGTTTCCAATATGATGCGAATTTGTTAAAAACGTGTATAAGCCTTTTAGAGTATCCTTCTTAGCACGGAAGATCATATGGTGTCTATTGAACGGGGGGTGTAAAGTTTGTAGCCTTCAGAGCCAAAATATGTAAAAATTAGTAAAAAATACAATATTTAAGCGGTCGTTTTTATCTTTCGTGTTTGTTTATACAGGTAACCGGAAATACACATATTCAAAACCAGTTGTCTCGACGTGACCGAATTATATTGTTAATCCTGCAGCATAATATAATCACACCAGAATAGTCCTTTCTAACGTAAATAATATTTCAGAATAGGCATAGGAATGTTATCGACAAGGACACGGATACTGGAATGACCAGAATAATGAAATTGTTCTGCTGTGATACACAACCCATGAGCATAACATCTTACGTCTTATTTGTCGCATAAATATAAATTTCCAGAAGGACAGTTGGTGAGAATACGTAAGTTTTCGATAAATTTTTCATTGGACCAATACATTTATATGAGAACGAGGTACAAATAAAACGTGTTCGTCTTTTCATGCAAGTGCACCGTGGGAGCAAGGGAGGGGGTTGGGGTCTATAAGCGAAAGCTGGTAATGCGGCGGGGGGGATTGGATGCATGTCTATTAAAGTGGTCTGAACTGGTAACCTATCTTTACCTTCCCTAAGCAAAACCGGGTTGGTTGAGAGTAATACCCGAATTCTTGCTGCTGGGAAGGTTCGTGACACGGCTTGGTCAAGGTGTCTTCTTAGTAGTCAACTTGCCCCATCCACTTGAAACGAGACTTTGAGGAGTGGCGTCTTCTTTTCCATGGTAGATGTGGCGGGTTTTATTTGTTTCGCAGTCATATTCTTTGTAATGAATGTCTCAGGATACCCAGTCTCACGAAGCCACTCTTGGATTTTCTTCAGCTCCTCCTCAATACCATCTGCCGAGCAATTGTTTCTAGCCCTCTGTCCTAAGCAGCTACCAAATTGTTAAAGTTTGTATATTGTCCGGACCAGGTTTTCTTTCGATAAACGCTCGTTCGGACGTTACCGTCAGGTCTGCGACTTAGGAGGACACCTAAGAAGGGAAGCGAATCTGTCGTCTTCACCTACATTGTGAACTTACTGCATGGATGTGCTCGCTCGGCAGCATTTAAGAGTGCATCTACATCGGTTTCTGGTGCGGCAATGACAGATATTTCATCAACATAGCAGCCGTAGTGTTTTAGCTTACTGGTCTAACCACTTAGTTGAAATTCATCCGGCTTGCCAATGAAGCCATCAGCTAACAGAGGTCCAAGAGGCGAGTCCATAGCAGCTCTACAAAACTCTGTGGAGGAAAGACATTTTGAAAATTTTATTGTTTTAAAGGGGGACAGAAACAAGTCCAGCCAGTGGGTGGAGACGGCGAC